CCCCACCTGTAGTTTCCTTTCACTTGGGGTACTAGCAAAAACCTTATTCTGAGCATTCAAGCCCTCAAGCCCCTGTATGAATCCGTCGTTATTGACCACCTAGGCTCCAGCTCCCACCCTCAGCCCCAAACCCAGCTTTATGAATCCCTATAAACCCCCAAACGGTCCCAAACCCTATTGCTGATGTGCAGAGCAAACCCTTAAACGGAATAGCCCTAGTAGACGAAATGCCTGAGGAGGGGATCCTCTGGCAAAGCTGGCGCCCAGCCCTCCAGGTCAATTGTTGGCTTCGGAGGTTTCGGTGTAGGGCTTGATTTGTGTTGAGGCTTTTGCTGTTGAGGACGCCGGTTCAAGGCTGTAGGGCTTAGTATTTCGGGATGAAATATAGGTTGAAGTCTGCCGGGGGGGGGGGGGGGGGTNNGGTTCACATGTTGGGCATTGGGGGTTGAAGGCTTCTGAGCTGGGGACCCGGAGGAAAGGTTCATGACTGACGTGGGGAGTGCTTAGCCTCAACTCATAACCCGAAAGCCACCAAAGCCCAAACTCCTGACCCGCATACCCAGTCCCCGAAGCCCTAAACCCCTAAACGATCGAACCGCAGAAACCTTTGAACCGCTAGTCAGCTAGTCCAAGGCCCTAAGTTCAAACCCAACCCCCAGAAAACATAAACCCTAAACCACCTTAAGGCATGACGTCGTAGGGTTGAGAGAATGCCAGCATTGCGGTTGCACTTGGAGTTCCGAGTAAGGATCTGAATACACGGTATAGGGTTTAAGGTTTAGGGCACATTTCCTAGTTCCATATAGAAGTGTGCTTGCTTGGCTCCGGACTCGGTTGGAAGCTTCAGAGCATGATGCACGCGCGGCTTCATGAAAGTCTTGCATCACTAGGACGACAAGTTGGGTAACCCGCCTCTTCAAGAAACAAACCTTGGAGACGAGATTCCAAGGAGGACTCGTAAGATGCCAGCCCCACCGAGTTACAACAACTTCAGGGCTAGCCCTAACCCTAACCCCCCAGATACCTACTATATAGGGCCCTAGGGGCTCTAGTACCCTATATAGTAGGTACCTGGAGGGTTAGGCTAGAGTTTCAGGGAGTGGCTACTTCGCGGTCGACAGCTCATCCCGCAACCCGCAGGAATCCAACCCTCCCCCTGCGCCCAAGAACCCTTTCACCTAGCCAACAGCCCCCAAACCCTAAACCCCTAAACCCTAAGCCCCTAAACCTCAAACCCTGAACCCTACTAAACCCTAAACCCTCAACTCTAAGGGGCTCCAGGGTTTAGGGTTTAGGCTTGCCCATTTGCCTACCCACCACCCGCCTACCTACCTACAGACTTACATACATAGGTACGTGCAGATATACGGACATAAATACATAGGTAAACGATTATGTGTGTATATATGTATACACATACCTATATATATATATATATATGGACACTTGCCATAATGTGGACACATTCCTGAGACCTTACGAGTGAGCGTCCCCGCCGTGCAGAAGCTGCGAAGCCAACCCCGCAGCCCAAGAAGAAGAAGCCGGAAGCCTGGGTGTTCAGTGCTTGTGTTGCATGCATTTAGGGGCGAGTGAATAGTCCCTGGCCCTAAACCCTAAACCCCAAAACCCTAAACCCTAAACCCTAACAAACCCTAAACCCCTAAACCCTAAACCCTAAACCCCTTAACCCTAAACACTGGTCTAGGGTGTATTGGTCAGTCTGCAGGTTGAGGGCTTGCATTGTCGGCGCAAGGGTGCTTGAGGATGCAGGTTGGACTTCGACCATTCATGCGAGACTTTGTGATGAGGCATGTATAGTACAAGTATTGCTCCGGACTTTGTGTGATCTTGATCTTCTTCGAGGGTCAAGACGAAAGCCGAGGCCAAAAATCGGCGTAGATCCTCACGCAGCCATGGATGTGACCTCCATGGTGCAAGAGCTTCGCGACAATTCAAAACGTGAGGCGACGGTTCTGGAACTTGCGACGATGAGGGAGTCTTTGCCAGGATTGGCGCAGGCTCTTTGGGATTCGCCTGGTGCACTGGAGGCCCTCAAGGAGGAGGTTGAAGCCATCTACCCGCTTCTCTCACAGCCGGAAGAGGTGACGGCATCTGCTGCTAACCGAGTCTGTAATGCCATGAGTTTGCTCCAACTGCTGGCTTCCGACCAGGAAACGAAGGTTTTGTTCTTGGACGCGCAGTTCCACCTGCTCGTGTATCCCTTCCTCAGCACGTCTGAGAAAGAACGGCCGTTCGAATATCTTCGGCTGACAGCTCTGGGAGTTATCGGTGCTTTGCTGAAGGCTAACAGTGGATCGGTCCGCCATCTGCTGGAAACTGACCTGTTGCGGCTCTGCTTGAACTCTTTGGAGGGCCAGTTTTCGTTGCTTTCCAAGACGGTTGCTGCTTTCATCCTCCAGCAGCTCCTTCTGGATGACCATGGTTTGCACTGCATCTGCTCATCAAAAGACTCCCTCAGCAAAGTTACAGATGCCCTCAATGCGGTGGTGGAGACCCTGGTGCAAGACCCCTCCATCCGTCTGCTGAAGCTCAGTTTGCAGTGGTAACGGTTCGTGCTTTGGTTTGGTAATCTGAGGACTCCCCATTAAAACCGAATGGAAAGTACCCTAGCTATGATTATGAAGGGGGACCGAAAGGAAACAGGAAGCCCCATACCCCCCCATAAACCGAGCATCAAGCACCATACGCCCGCCCACAACCATCTACAGCGCTCAATTGATCATGTTTCGTACGGTTTAAGGCTTAAGGGCTGAAGACAGAGGCTTGAATTAGCATATATGTCTTGGATATGAACCTCCGTAACCCTAAAACGCCCAATAAACTTCCATGCAAACCTTATAAACCAACAACTCAGACCCTAAACCCGAATTTCCCTAAACACCTCCGTAGACATCACAACATCGATCCCTTCTTTCAAGGAGATACCTAAACCCTAAACCCTAAACCCTAAACCCTAAACCCTAAACCCTAAACCCTAAACCCCCTAAACCCTAAACCCTAGTGGGGAACCTAGGACGCCTCTGGTGCGCTGCTACCTGCGCCTCACAGAAGATCCCCGGGGCAAGTGGAGAGTCACTTAGTTGGAGTAATGTAGGGGTTTAGGGTTTAGGATCTTACCTATAATATTCTGGGTTTAGGGTTTAGGGTTTAGGGTACCCTCCAGGTACCTACTATATAGGGCCTTAGGGGCTCTAGTACCCTATATAGTAGGTACTTGGGGGGTTAGGGTATACTATTCCGGGGCGTTCCTTATGATAGTTGTAGTATAATACAACCCAAACCCCTATTCTAGTGATTAACGCCCCTACATTAAGTAATCGTTTAGGGTTCAGAGTATCATTAGGGGTTATAACAGGGTCTTGTGATCCTTATATACTTATAGTCCCAACGGATAAACTAGTATCATTAGGGGTTAGGGTCTTGCGATCCTTTGATACTCAGTCCCAACGGGCTAAACATGAGTTCCTTTCTGTAGAAAGCTGGACAGTAAGGTCAAAGAGTCCCTTCCCGCAGGGCTCAGGTCGGGTCCGTCTTTGAAGCAGTTGCCAGCTTCCATCCGCCAAAGTTTGAAGGAGGACGAACAGAAGGTGACAAAGAAGTGGCTGTGCCAGCTGCTCACGAATCTAGAATCCGAGACTGTTTAGCCCAAGGTGCTGCGCCGGAGTTTCTGTCGAAAAACAGATCAGCACTGGGTCTGTAAGCCCGATGCCAAGCCCGACGCCGCGCACAAGCCGTGCTCAGGGCTAAGCCTAAACGGGTACGTTAGGATGAGGTCTGGCGTGATCTCTGCAGTGAAAATGCGCGTCACTGTGGGTGCACACCAACTGTGACCGCTTATACAGAGGCCTGAATCATTAGTCGCATTATTACTTCCCTGTGGTGCCTTTTTACATACAGCAATAAGCTGCCCCAAAACCATGTTCTGATCATTCTGCCCCAATATTGCATGCAACTTCGTGAACCTTAAGCCGGTGTTCTCGGCTTTGGGACTTCGGGCTGAGGACTTGAATTCTATGTGCGGGTGTGTAAGGCTTGCTCGAAGCTTTGACCTGCGTTGCTGTTTGGTGTAAAGGTTTGTCGTGTGATTCTATGGCGTGTGTGTTTAGCTTTCTGTTTAAGCGGGCTGTCAAGAGGGCCTTATGTGACTTTACCAGGGCAGCTATACGCTTCGTCCAGGGGTCATCTGTTGGTACGTGTCGGTACAAGGTATGGAGAAGCACATGTTCGTTCAGCCTGACATGTGGAATTCAGCTATAGGGGCCTTAATAATTAAATACGGTTTTGGGGCCCATTATACTCTAATCTTAATATGGAACCCCCCCCCAAAATAGTAACCCTAAACCCCAAACCCTAAACCCTAAACCCTAAACCCTAAACCCTAAACAAACTTCTTGCAGCCAAGACATCATGCCCCTAAACCCTAAACCCTAAATCCCAAACCCTGAACCCTAAACCCTGAACCCTAAACCCTAAACATCATGCCTGCCAAGGAAGGCTCCAGAAGGCGTTCTCGGCCTGGCGGCAACTCAGCCACGGTTTGGTCGAGGGCTGTCATCTTCCTGGGGTTCAGCGTCTAATATAGGGGCCTTAACAACTAGAAGCCCATTATACTATAATAAAAGGAAAAAATAAGAACAAATATAATATAATAATATAATAGTAATAATATTAATAATAATAAGGAACCCCCAAAAGAGTGTATGATCTTTGAAGTGCCCTGTTCAGGCGATCTGCGAAACTTTTGTTTCGTCTCTGACTACCTCAGGCTTCTCATCCGTTTGGCAGTCCCGGCAATAAACTCCAAAAGGCTCCTGGCTCCTCTTCAAGACCCAAGATTTCGAACCTGCGTCTCGAGCTGTGAAGCACCACGCGAACTCATTTGCACTGCACGTTCTGTCCCTTGGGTGTTTGCATTCTTCCACCCCCTTCTCATGCCTTTTATCTCTCCACTCCCCGTTGGAACTGCCATCCTGTGCGTGGGCCGGTGGGATCCGCAGACAAGCCTACGCATCTCGGTGATTTTTCTCTGGGTTCTGGAGTACCGTACTTTATGACTTTGTTGACCTGTTCCTGTAAAGGAAGCACCATGAGACACAATAGCCTATGCTTTGAAGGAAGCATCATGAAGTACAAGCTTGTAACTGTTTCTCCCTGGTTATTTACTTTTCCCAGAAATTCCATGGAAACGAGGCACCGCCAAAGTCCAAACCCATTAGGCCTCAACTCAAACTACAGTACTCCTACACTAGATTCTGGAGTACCATGCTTTATTGATTCGTTTTGGACCAGTTCTTTAAAGGGGCCATTATGAAACGCGTGTTTTTTTTCCTTGCTACTTCAAAGCCCAGATACTTGAAGTCGACTCTGCGTAGCGGTGCCTTAATCCTAAATCTCAAAAACCCTAAAACCCTAAACCCTAAACCCTTAAACACTAAACCTTAAATCCTAAACCCCTAGATCTCGAAAAACCCTCGGTGCCCGAACCCAAGATCCTGGCCCGGAACACGCCCAACAAGAGAAACGCCCAGACCTCAGCACCCGTAATATAGGGCCTCAATAATGAGAATAGGGTTTTGGGGGACATTTTATTAATTTATAATAAGGATATAAGGGCCTGAATAATGATTACCATACTTTTGTGGGGGTTCCTTGTTTCAATTATGGTATAATGTACCCCCAAACCTTATTCTGAATATTAAGGCCCCTATACATTAAACCCCTCAAACCCCAAAGTGCTAGACCTTCTACCCTGCAGCCGTTAACCCCAAACCCCCAGGCCCCAACCATCCAAACTTGTAGGAACCCTTGCAGTAGGCCTGACAGGAACCCTTCTGGTAGCCGTTAAGGGTGCCTCTTAAGGGGTATATCTTTAAGGGGTTCATTTAACCTAAACCCTAACCCCAAACCTCAAACCCTAAACCCTAAACCCCAAACCTCAAACCCTAAACCCTAAACCCCAAACGTTAAACGCTTTCTGGGGACCCGCAAAAGCCAGGCTCCACCTGATCAGCTGCAGAAGCCCGGGCCAGTTACAGCCCTCGGGCCTGAAAGATGGGTTTAGGGTTTAGGGTTTAGGGTTTAGGGCTTTGGGTTTAGGGCCCTTTTGGGGGGGGTTTAGGGCTGGTGGGGTTTATAAAGGGCTTCGGGCTTCTAGGGCTTAGGGTTTAGGGCTTTTCGGGTTTACTGCTTTTGGGGGGCTTATAGGGTTAAGGTTTTAGGCCATAGGGCTGTTGCTGGTGCCTTTGTGCTGGGGTTCATAGGGTTCAGAAGTTCAATGACCCAAAACCCTCAATCCCAACCTCATTCCCGCGGGTTTCAACCCTCAACCCAAACCCTAACCCCCAAGCCCTAAAACCCTAGACCCTAAAAAGGCCCTAAAATCCTGGAACCCTAAAGCCCTACACCCCAAACAAAAAAGTATTCGTGTCTCTGTCCTCTTTTGAGCTGCGTTCTTCCTTCCTCCAGGTTTTCGGCGCCGCTCGCCCCGGCCCGGTCACCCTGCTTGCGCCTGCGCCGAGGCCCCGGGCTAGGCAACCTTAAGAGTACACAGACTGTATACTACAAAGAGGACCGGATACAGATTGTAAAATTGTGGGCAAATTGTGGGGCTTTGGGGTTGCAGTACAGTAGGGTCTACGGCTTGATGAAGCTACTGGGGTTAAACGTTTAGACTCCGTGGTGCCCTAGAGACTCCAATATCCCTTAATTAAGGAATATACCTGAAATCATACCAGGGATCCTACTGTAATTTAAGGTATATTCCTTAATTCAGGGGTATTGGAGTCTCTGGGGCCATACCCTAAACCCTAAACCCTAAACCCTAAACCCTAAACCCTAAACCCTAAACCCTAAACCTTATCTAATTGAAGATCAACGCCTTTGTGGGCCAGGGAGCTCAGCAACTACGCCACTCAGCTCGGGGTTCGAACATCAGGGCTTCGGTTTAAGGTTTATAGGGTTTAGGGTTTAGGGCAGGGTTTAGGGTTTAGGGTTTAGGGTTTAGGGTTTAGGGTTTAGGGTTTAGGGTTTAGGGTTGAGGGTTGAGGGTTGAGGGTTGGAGGGTTGAGGGTTGAGGGATCGAATGTGGAGTTCCACAAGATCCCCCGAACCCAATCACACTTTGAGCATCGAAGGGTTGGGATGTCGCAGTTGGCATGCGAGTGGCCTGTGGCTTCCAGGTCTGCGCCGCAGATGTCGAATTGGCATCGGGCATCGTTTTGGGACTTGGGTTCAGGGTACTTGCGTTCGGGGGTGGGGAAAGAGGTTGGGATGTTTGAAGTCTGTGCCTCCGGAAGCAGTGACAGCAGAAGTGCGGACGGGTGGCAGCGGAAGCGCATATGTAATCGCAAACAATGGACTGCATAACTAATCGGTATCTACTATCAATGGCCATATACCCCAATGTAAGGTTGCCGGGAGTATCCTGGTAGAGTGTCAGGCTTACGGTTTGTCACGGCTTCCAAATCGCAAGCTCCGGCAGCCGATGAAGGCCCGCGCCGGAACAGCCGGTCGCCCTTCCAGCGGCGCCGGTAGTGCCCGCTGTGCCTGTGCCGCCGGCGGTGCAGCAGCCGGCACCGGCGGTCATGGACTGGATCTGCGAGGCGCTGGTCCGGAGATATAGGTGATTGTTGGGTATTAGGATTTAGGGTTTAGGATGCTTTGTAAACCTTCTTGTTTAGTGTAGGGTTTTGGAGTTTTGGGCTTAACTAGTTTTTAGGGTTTTGATGTCAATATGATTCAGGCTCGCAGGGTGTGGTTGCCCTATGGATATTCCAACTTGTTTCGCGTTATATAGCTGGAAGCGTTACACCAATTTGCAACAAAAACAAAACACCACGTAGCCCTGTGGGAGCTTATCAAAATGTCTTCCAAAATTCTAAACCCTAAACCCTAAACCCTAAACCGTTTCAGCATTCCAAATGCATGAAAAGACCTGGGCCCGGGTCCAAAGTCTGAGTCACAAAGCCCGGAACCCAGGCATGGATGCCGAGGAAACGGAGCTCAGCAAACAAAGAAAGGCGCTAGATAGATATAAATATGTATATATACATATATGTATGTGTGTATATATATATATATACACAGACACTCTATATATACATAGATATATTCAGATATATATATATATATAGAGAGAGATAGATATATATATATATATATAAAGAACTTTACGAAACAGGAAAGACCAGGAAATCAATCCGAGAAGCCGCAGTACAACACTGCATCGAAAAACCGCTGCCACCCGAAACCCAAAGCCCCAAGCCCCTCAAGTACCTTTTCAAGGGCTCTGACATTCCTCAGCAAGCGGTATTTAGGGGCTACTAAGGGGTAGTTAAACCCTAAGCCCTATAGACCTTAGGAAAGCCTTAAAACCCTCAAGACTGTCTGGTGCTTAGTAGGGAATGGGGGAATGGATCCCTATGATAGTCCCTTCAGGTCCCTTGTAGTAGTATAACCCATTCCGCAGATTGGCATTTCCAATAGCGATACTATATAACCTGTAATTAAACCAACGGGTAGTTAAACCCCATAAGCCCTAAACCTTAGGGAGCCTAAACCCTAAACCCCTAAACCCTAAACCCTAAACCCTAAGCCCTAAACCCTAAACCCTAAACTTAAAAACCCTCAAGAGGTCTGCATGCGG